GGGCTTTTTTTGCCCTTTCTTCCCTTAAAAAGGACTCCCTCCTCCCCCCCCAGGGGGAGTTATTGGGGCCGTCCGACATTGCGCGGGAATTTTAGGGGGCCCGGGGCTTCCCTTTTATGCCCAGGGGGCGGGAGCCCTTCCTGGGGGGCCCCATGGAGTTGGGGGCCCTTTTCACCCGTTGGAGAGTGGGAGCCGCTTTCATTTTGCGGGATTCCCAGGGGGAGCAGCGCGCTTTTGAGGCGTTGTTGCGCATCACAGACCTTTACGCCGTGCCGAGGGCAACCAACCCCCCCACAGGGGACATTGTGTTTGGGTACCTGGAGACGTTTCCCTTGGCCCAGTAGTGCCCAGGGGGGGCCTGGTTTTTCCCTTTTTAAAAAAAAAACCCCCCCCCCCCCCTAAAAAAGGGGGGGGGTCCCCCCGGCCCCCAAATTTTGGTCCGCCCAAAGAGGGGGGGTTAAGGGGGGTTCCCCCCCCCCCCCCCCCCCCTCCCCCCCCCCCAAGCGCGCATGCGTAGTGCGACGGTGGCGCCAGCGCGCCACACACCCCATGACTCCCATGTGTCGGGTGTGCGGCACGGGATGTGGACTTACCTTTTAGAAAGGACACCACTCAAAGACACGGCATCGCTCCACCCCGTACGCGCCGGGCCCCCCCGCACTATGCACATGCACATGGACATGGACATGGACATGGACATGGACATGGACATGGACATGGACATGGACATGGACATGCACACACATGCACATGCACATGCGCACATGGGTGCCATGTGCATGTGCATGTGCATGTGCATGTGCATGAATGTGCATGTGCATGCGCTGTTGTGCATGGCATGCGCATGTTGTGCATGACATGCACAAGCGGCATGCACATGCACATGCACATGCAAGGCGGGGATTGTGTGGTGAGTGGTGATCTGGAAGGTGGATTGTGTGGGAGTAGTCCTAGTGATTGATATCTGCCAGGTGGTGGTGAGTAAAGTAGTGATCTGCAAGAAAAAAAAGCAAACTGCAATTTAAAGAAAAGAAGGCATACTAGGATCATCGGCCATGGCCGCAGGGAGCGCGGGGGAGGGCGCTGGGAGCAACACGGAGCTCCGAGTTGGAGCTTGGACCGCGGGCGCCCCGGGGGATTTGCGGATTGGACGCGTTTTCCAAGAGCCATATTAGCGTGCGTCAGCTCTCACGTCTCAGCTGTCAGAGTGAATACTGAATAGTGAATTGGAACTAGCCATGTCGCGTGTATGCATATCATCAACATCATGACTCTCGCTCTCTACAGGAAATAGAAGGCTTAACACACACGACACAGCGCGCGCCATGGCATCCACATGGCGAGACCCTCGCTGACCCCCTCGACAAACGCGACCCACGCTAAGAGCTCGCGCAAGAGATTGCAGCGGGAAAGAGAGAGCTAGAGAGCTGAGAGGCACACGCCCGACGGGCGCACCTCCGCAGTGGTCGCGCGTGAGTGTGGGTGTGGTGCGCCAGCGATGCCCTAACGCAACACGGTAGACATGCAGCCTCCGACGGCACGGCGCAGCGCAATGCGCGACGCGTGCCCCTCTCCCCTCCCGCGCCCGTCCAGAGGCGTGCGCGCTACTACTCGGCGGCGACCGCCAGCGCGGGCGCGGTGGGGAGCACGAGGTTGCTCTCGCCCGAGCTCACCCTCGCCGACGCGATGATGTCGCCCTCCTTGACGTCTGACAGGAGCCGCGCGCCGTCGACCGTGTAGCCGAAGCAGGCGTAGCGGCCGTCGAGCAGGTTCTTGCCGG